TCAAGGTGTGTTCTAACAGGAAGAAGAAGAAAACATATATCATTTATGAGGAAATGTCGAGGTGGGAATTCATAAAATAAAAATGTTATCATTGGCAGGTTTCAAACCCATGCATTTCAAGAGAAACAGATTTTGACTCTGGTGATCACTTGACAATTTAATCTTCAGCAGGTTTTGAACCCACACAGACAGATTTGGATTCTGTCATATCAACTGCTTGGCTAAGACCAGTTAGATGCCCTCCTAATGAATCTGTTCAAAAGTGAATCCTCAATGTGCGTTTATCTGCATTTTGTCAGTTCTAACAATAATTTCTAATATCCCCCTTGAATCCTCCTCGATGCTATTGAAAGAACTGCCTTTAGGATTTACTTGTGAACGGGTCCATTGGAAGTGCATCTCACTGGTCTTAGCCAAGCAGTTGATACAACAGAATATAAATCTGTCTGTGTGGGTTCAAAACCTGCTAAAGATGAAATCTTCGAGTGATCACCAGAGTCAAAATCTGTTTCTCTTGAAATGCATGGGTTTGAAACCTGCCAATCATGAAATTTATTTTCTATGAAAACACATCTTGACATTGTCTCATGAATGATTTTCTCAAAAACTCATCTCAACTGATGTTGGCCATGTCGTTGCTAAAATAGATTCAAAATCTATTTCCATTGAAGTCTACAGGTTTGAAACCTATTGAGTGACACATTTTTTGCATTAGAACATGTCTCAGATATCTGCTCATAGACAGCATCTCAAATGTTGATCTTCATCAGTCTTAGTCAAGTTGTCACCAGAGTCAAAATCTGTTTCTTTTGAACTGTGCAGGTTTGAAACCTACGAACAATAACATTTTCATTTTCATTCTATGAAATCACACCTTCACACTTCTACATGAATCTTAAAATGAATTGGAAGGCCTCAATTTTCTTGTGGCATTATGACTTTCTTGGAAGAGAAACCAAAAAATTTCAAAGCTGGTGTATGGAACCATGTTCCACTGCTAGCCTTGCAACAGCTTGTTTTATGATCCATGTCAACTGTTGAACATTGTCCGAGTGACTATCTATCATATCCAACTCAATATGCATCAAACCTGAAAATATCAAACATCACACATCAAGTTTCACATCGGCCAATCAGATATCACACACACTCATGCTGCCTATGTCTCATCCCATCCTGCTAGTCCTGCTAGGTGCACAGTTCATTATTTCTCACATTACTCACATCATAGACTGTGTTATTACATGTTTTCCCATAGTCCGCAGCACCTCTTTTCTTATTATGGCTCAACTAAGACTGATGAAGATTAGTGTCTGAGAGACTGACTATGATTCAATATTCAGACAGATTTAGATTCTGGTGCATCAACTCCTTGACTAAGATGATGTAGGACTCAGCCTAGCACTGGACTCATATTCAGCTATTTAACAATATATGTCAAATGCATGTCACACACCAATCACTTCCCAATTATATTCTGACAGTCTCCATAGCCCATAGTGGACCCAATACTTTGACTGGCGGACCTGATGTTTTGGCTGCATCGGCCAACCAAATATTGTGCACTTGTCCTCCCTATGTCCTGTCCCATCTTGCTAGCCCCACTAGGTGCATAGTTGATTATTTTGCACATTACTCATGTCATAGCCACCACTATTACATTTTTTCCCATCATCCACAGCGCCTCGTGTCTTTTTACATGTACTTCAGATCTGAAATATTTCACTACTGCTTTCACCTATGTATTCTGAATTTCTACATATCTACATAAATATTGGACTCTCCACAGTATCACCCATCATCCAAGTAGTAGGGAGCCATTTCCCGATACATAGGGGTCAAACCCAATATTTCATAGTTCTTTGTTGACATTGTGAATATTACCGCTCTCCTTATCTGAAATACCCATCATCATCATTTCATAAAATAAAAAATGTTATCATTGGCAGGTTTCAAACCTGCGCAGTCCAAGAGCAACAGATATTGACTTTGATGATCACTTGGCAAATTCATCTTTAGCAGGTTTTGAACCCACGCAGACAGATTTAGATTCTGGTGCATCAACTCCTTGACTAAGACCAGTTAGATTCACTTCCAATGAACCCATTCAGAAGCGAGTCCTCAAGGTACATTTATCTGCATTTTGTCAGCTCTTTTAATAGCATGGTCACTGTTGATTTTTTTATCCTACTCTTATTGCAAAAGACACAGACTTCCTGCTGGGGCTTCTTGACTTCAAGACCTGTTTATCTAATGATTTCCCTGAAAAAGTGCTGATGGAAGACCACCACGGTGGGTCCATGAGTGAAAACTGACAATGAAAGGATCGCACAGTGTATTTTTGACGCAGAGTTTGATATATGACCAAAATCTCGATGCAAACTCGGAAGGATAAGTACAATAACAATAACATTCTTTCTAAAGGTCTTGACTTGGTTGAAGAAGAAAAAGAGCAGATTACGCATCAAACTTTCAAGTTTGATCCTAATAACCTGGGGAATTAGGAAAAATACAAATCTATTAAGGCTGAGAGGTAAACAGGTCTTGAAATCAAGAGTCCCAGAAGAAGTCTGATGTCTTTTGCAATAAAAGCAGGATAAAAGAATCAACAGCGACCATGCTATTGAAAGAACTGACAAAATGCAGATAAATGTGCCTTGAGGGTTCACTTCTGAATGAGTTCATTGGAAGTGAATCTAACTGGTCTTAGCCAAGCAGTCGATACGACAGAATCTAAATCTGTCTGTGTGGGTTCAAAACCTACCAAAGATTAAATTGTCAAGTGATCGCCAGAGTCAAAATCTGTTTCTCTTGGACTGTGCGGGTTTAAAACCTGCCAAGGATAATTTTTCATTTTCTATAAAAATGCACCTTGACATATGCTCATGGTCGGTTTGCTTACAAGCTCGTCAGAGTTGTGTTTAGCCAAGTGGTTGTCATAACAGAATCAAAATCTGTTTTCATTGAAGTGCAACAGGTTTGAAACCTGTTTAATCTCGCATTTTTTTGTTCTATTAGAACATGCCTTGAATATTTGCTCATAGACAGCATCCCATATGCTGATCTTCATTGGTCTTAGTCTTATTCCAAACACACCTCGACATGGACTCATGTGTGCTTTCCTGAGAGCACCATCTTGCTGGTGGTGTGATTTCATAAAACAAAAATAGTATTATTGGCGGGTTTCAAACCTGCGCAGTCTAAGAGAAACAGATTTTGACTCTGGTGATCACTTGACAATTTCATCTTTAGCAGGTTTTGAACCCACGCAGACAGATTTGGATTCTGTCGTATCGACTGCTTGGCTAAGACCAGTTAGATGCACTCCAAATGTGCCCATTCAGAAGTGAATACTCAAGGTACATTTATCTGCATTTTGTCAGTTCTAATATTAATTTCCAACATCCCCCTTAAGTCCAATCATATGTGATCCTTCCATTGTCGGTTGTCACTCACTCATGACCCAGTTGTAAAGAATGAGTTTATTGGAAGTGCATCTCACTGGTCTTAGCCAAGCAGTCGATACGACAGAATCTAAATCTGTCTGTGTGGGTTCAAAACCTGCTAAAGATCGAATTGTCAAGTGATCACCAGAGTCAAAATCTGTTTCTCTTGGAATGTGCAGGTTTGAAACCTGCCGACGATGAATTTTATTTTCTATAAAAACACACCTTGACAATAACATTTTTATTTTTATTGTATGAATAATGAAATCACACCTTCACATTTCCACACGAATGTATAGCAAGCAAACACTGATGATCTAAAGCTTGATTGACATTGCTGTTGGTTTCATGCATCCTTTTTTGCTAGGTGAATGCGAGTATTTTTGACGCAGAGTTCGATATATGACCAAAATCTCGATGCAAACTCGGAAGGATAAGCATAAGAACAATTTAATTCTTTCTAAAGGTCTTGACTCTGTTGAAGAAGAAGAAGAAGAAGAAGAAGAGCAGATTACACATCAAACTTGCAAGTTTCATCCTAATGACCTGGGGAATGAGGAAAAATACAAATATATCAAGGCTGAGATTGTGCCTTGAGGATTCACTTTTGAATGAGTTCATTGGAAGTGCATTCAACTAGTCTTAGCCGAGCAGTTAATACAACAGAATCTAAATCTGTCCGTGTGGGTTCAAAACCCGCTAAAGATTAAATTGTCAAGTGATCGCCAGAGTCAAAATCTGTTTCTCTTGGACTGTGCAGGTTTGAAACCTGCCAATGATAAAATTCATTTTTTTTCTATGAAAACACACCTTGAAATTTGCTCATGGTCGCTTTGCTTGCAAGCTGATCAAAGTTGTGTTTAGCCATGTGACTGTCATAACAGAGTCATGCTCGTCCTTTGTCCATCCATTCCATGTCCATTCAGTTCGTCGGTGCATATTTCTATTCTATTTCTGTGAATTCTGACAGTATTGCTGGCGCTATGCGCACACATTCCATAATGCTATGTCATGGACCCTTATATTACATATTATCACGCACTCGCTTCGCTTCTCAGTTCGCTTTAGCGCTTAACATTACTTACATAGTTCATGTATGTTTTTCTCTCTTGACAAATTAACCACCATCATCTTGCTGTGACGCTCAGAACTGCGCTGGGCAGGAATGAGCCTATTTTTATATATGCATCAAGGAGTATAGAGCACTATCAGTTTCCCTATCCTTGTTCATCATTTGTCCAACAATTAACTCCTGTGCAAACCCAAACCCGCACTTTCCTGCGCACTAGACAGTATAAGTTGACTATACTACTACATCACTTCCCTCGTACTGTATACCTCTCCCTATAGGTTTACCTTCAAAGTAGTCCCTTGTGGTATGCACTTTTTAGCCCCTATTAGGTCCCCCTTCAACTCATCTAGAGTCGCTGTGCTCCAACCACCTGCATGCGCGCCTCACATCTGCTTAGCGCACGCCAACGCATAGTAGCACTTCCGCTTAACCGCGCTCCGCACATCATAGCGCGCCTAACCAGGCTTGACTAAGCATCTGGTTCAGTCACTCGCAATGTTTTCCCTCAGCTGAACAGATGAATTGAAAACAGACCGCAATACAACACTTTCAAAAAGCGAGAGAAGAGCAGGTCTCAAATACAGTGCACCTCAACCTTATACATAAGCGAATAGTGGCCAGATGGCTCTTTTGAATCTTTGCCTTGAATCTCAGCCTTGACAGATGTGTATTCTTCCTCATTCCCCAGGTCATTAGGATCAAACTTGAAAGTTTGATGTGTAATCTGCTCCTCTTCTTCTTCAACAAAGTCAAGACCTTTGGAGAGAATTAAATTGCTCTTGTACTCGTCATTCCGAGTTTGCATCAAGACTTTGGTCATATATTGAACTTTGCGTCAAGGATAAAAGAATCAACAGTGACCATGCTGTTGAAAGAACTGACAAAATGCAGATGAACGTGCCTTGAGGATTCACTTCTGAATGAGTTCATTGGAAGTGCATCTCACCGGTCTTAGCCAAGCAGTCGATACGACAGAATCTAAATCTGTCTGTGTGGGTTCAAAACCTACCAAAGAGTGATCACCAGAGTCAAAATCTGTTTCTCTTGGAATGTGCGGGTTTAAAACCTGCCAATGATAACATTTTTATTCCATGAAATCGCACCTTGACATTTCCTCATGATTGATATATGTTTGTTTTTTTCCCTGTTAGAACACACCTTGACATCGACCCATGTGTACTTTCCTGAGAGCTTCATATCACTGGTCTTAGCCAAGTAGATGTTGCAACAGAGTCAAAATCTGTTTCTTTCAAACCATGCAGGTTCAAAACCTGCTTGCAAAATATTTTGCAGTGTATAGATTCTCAGAGACCCAAGTCCCAAGTCCCAAGTCCCAAGTCCCAAGTCCCAAGTCCCAAGTCCCAAGTGCAAGCAAATAGGGACAGTTAGACGTTTTGGAGTATTCATCAAAGTGATGTCATTCGTGTCAGTTTTATCTTTTTCAATGCAACCCAGGTGTGACTGCTTTGTACTAGTTTTGCAGCAGAATGTAGCGAGAATGCTTCTGTTGCATCTATACATTGTGGTCTGTAGCTGGGAGTATCCTTCAGCATGACATAAAATAAAATGATGAAAATATTATACCAGCAGTGTTGGATTGGACAACAGATGGACGTGTAATGTAGGGCATGCACAGAAATGCAGTGCTTGGTATGGGACAGGACGTGATTTCATAAAATCAAAAATGTTATCATTGGCAGGTTTCAAACCTGCGCAGTCCAAGAGAAACATATTTTGACTCTGATGATCACTTGCAATTTCATCTTTGACAGGTTTTGAACCTGTCACAGACAGATTTGGATTCTGTCGTATTAACTGCTTGGCTAAGACCAGTTAGATGCACTCCCATTGAATCCATTCAGAAGTGAATCCTCAAGGTACGTTTTGTCAGTTCTAACATTAATTTCTAACATCACCCTTGAGCTCAACCATATGCGATCCTTCCATTGTCAGTTGTCACTCATGACCCGCTTGTTAATCCCAAGACATCACGAACATCATTGGCCCACCGCGGTGATCTGCCATCAGCACTTTTTTTGAGCAATTGCTGGATAAACAGGTCTTGAAGTAGAGGCCCAGGAGAAGTCTGATGTCTTTTGCGATAAGAGTAGAATAAAAGAATCAATCGCGGCGACTATATTATTGAAAGAACTGACAAAATGCAGATAAATATGCCTTGAGGATTCACTTGTGAATGGGTCCATTGGAGGTGCATCTAACTGTTCTTAGCCAAGCAGTTAATATGACAGAATCTAAATCTGTCTGCGTGGGTTCAAAACCCGCCAAAGATGAAATTGTCAAGTGATCACCAGAGTTAAAATCTGTTTCTCTTGGAACGTGCAGGTTTGAAACCTGCCAGTTGCAACATTTGTTTTCTATAAAAATGCACCTTGAAATTTGCTCACGGTCGGTTTGCTTGCAAGCTGATCAAAGTTGGCTTTAGCCAAGTGGTTGTCGCAACAGAATCAAAATCTGTTTCTATTGGAATGCGACAGGTTTAAAACCTGTTGAATGTCACATTTTTTCTATGAGAACGTGCCTTGAATGTTGGCTCATAGACGGTATCTCAGACATTGATCTTCATTGGTCTTGGTCAAGTTGTCGCCAGATTCAAAATCTGTGTCTCTTCAACTTTGCAGATTTGAAACCTGCCGATGATGATATTTTTATTCTATGAAATTAAACCCTGATATTTCCTCGTGCATAGTTTTCTTCAAAACCCATCATAAATGCTCTTTTTCATATCATTGCCACAATAACATGGCTAAGACCATTTAAGATGAGTTTTTGAGAAAACTCTTCACTAGGAAATGTCAAGGTGTGATTTCATAGAATAAAAATATTATCATTAGCAGGTTTCAAACCTGCACAGTTCAAAGAGAAACAGATTTTGATTCTGTTATGACAACCGCTTGGCCAAACACTAGTCTCAGTGGCTTTAAAGCAAACCGACCATGAGCATATGTCAAGGTGTGTTTTCATAGAAAATGAATTTTATCATTGGCAGGTTTCAAACCTTCACGGTCCAAGAGAAACAGATTTTAACTCTGGTGATCACTTGATAATTTCATTTTTGGCGGGTTTCGAACCCACAAAGACAGATTTAGATTCTGTCGCATTAACTGCTTGGCTGAGAGCAGTTGGGTTCAATTCCAATGAACCCATTCAGAAGCGAGTCCTCAAGGCACATTTATCTGCATTTTGTCAGTTCTTTCAACAGCATGGTCACCGTTGATTCTTGTATACTGCTCTTATTGCAAAAGACACAGACTTCTGCTGGGGTGTTACAATCATGGCTACCTATTTTGGCTTACATGCTTTCCTTTCTTGAACGACATCTTGTATCTCACGATTGTCTTGGTCTGTGCGCACATATTGACCTATTTAAGCACATGTATTATTACTATATTCTTTACTTGAATCTTACTAGGTTTTACCTGAAACATCTCTCGCCTAAGACTCCCAATCTTAGGTCGTCTGATACTTGATTCTTAGTGGAAGCACTCCTTCTACTAAGCCTAGAACCCTCTCTTGTTTGAGAAGCTTAGAAATCTCAACGAACGTAACTCTGTCGAGTTGTCGTTGTTAGAACTATCTTAGTTCGTAACAAAAGATTCAAGTCGATAGACACCACCCTTCTGTGTGTGTCAAAAGAACGAACCGAACCAAGAAGAAAAGACCTGGCTGAGCAAGACAGCTAGTGCAGGCAAGCAAACTGACATCACTCACCCCACAACTTCGAGCCCTGAACCTCGGTACTTCTGTACCACCACTCAATATGTCAAACACATCGACTACCAAGGAATTTGAATACAAGATCAACCATCCTCCCATTTTTAATGGAGATAGAGAACTTTCCAGATCATTCCTCCTCTCTTGTAATGCCTACATGGACATCAATGACAAACTTTACAAAGATGACAAACAACGTGTTATCTTCATCACTTCCTTCATGAACGAAGGAAATGCCAGATTATGGAAAGAAGAATTTCTTGAAGACGCACAATATGTGGACTCTTCTGGACAAAAGAAAGGATATGGAACAATGAAGGACTTTTTGGAATCATTCAACAAAGCCTTCTCCTCCATTGACCCATCGGGAATGGCTATGGCAAAGATCCGAAACCTTAAACAAGGAAATGGAGATCTCCAGACCTACATTGCCGATTATCAAAGACTCGTTGCCCAAGCAAAGATAAAAGAAGAATCCGCCAAGATCTTCCATTTCCAAGAAGGACTTAATACAGGGATACTCGTGAAACTATTCAATGCTGGAGGCGTCCCAAAGACCTTTGACGACTTCGTCGAATCTGTGGTGGATATTGATAACTGCTACATGCAGCTACAATCCATCAGATCTCGAATCCCCATGCAGCAAAAGAAAAGGCGATTTGGAGACCAGAGATACGTCCCAAACAGAGACCATGATGCCATGGTTATAGATCGGCTTACCGAAGCAGACCGCCAAGAACACATGCGTGTTGGCAAATGTTTCATTTGCCATCAAACAGGACATCGTGCCAAGGAATGTCCTCAAAGAAAGAAAGGACCCCCATTCATCCGCAAACTTGACGAAGAAGAGGAAACCAGACGCATTCAAGAGGATTTTTAAACTGGAGAACTAGGTCGACTATAGTATCTCCAGTAGAACCTGTATGTCTTATTCGAGCTATTGGTGAAAAGAAAGAACTTCGTGTTCCCATTTCTCTCATCTCTCGAACACGTCAGAATGTCGAAACAAGCGCAGTAATAGATTCGGGAGCCTCCGGAACCTACATTTCCGAGAGCTTTGTAAAAAAGCACGGAATTAGATCTCGAAGATTGGACAAACCATTCCATATTCGAACCGCGGATGGAAGTTACTCCAGCAGCGGACCAGTAGAACGATACTGCACCCTTATCATCAAAATTGATGAACGAACCATGATGGGAAAATTTAACATCACGAAGCTAGGACAAAAAGACCAAATCCTCCTTGGAATCCCATGGCTCCGAGCCATGAATCCTTCTATTGATTGGACCAAACAGACTCTCTCCCTTCCTTGCACCTCGAAATCTATCGAAATTGAGGAAAGTGTTAAAAGGTCAAAAGAAACTTCACAAACACTGTCGAACGAAGGACCGAAATGGGTCAATTCTAAACTTAGAAAAGAACCATCAAAGTTCTCCGCCTCAATCGAAGAAGTTCCAGAAGACATTTCTCCTTCGCTACCCATGGAAGAAGATAAATGCTTCGATACTAAGGAAGATGTATGGATTGCCCCTCCTGTATGCGATGTTTCCACCTATGAACTCAACGATGGAGAATTCTTGGTGGAATACGACGCTAATGGAGAATTCATGAGGGTAATAGAAGAAATATCTCTTGATACTCCCCTTACCAGAGATGGAACATCCCTATCCGAACAGAAAACAATCCCCGCTTTCCCCAAATTCAGCAACAAGGCGCAAGAATTTGCCACAGATGAAAAGCAAAAGCAAAAGAAATCGTTCGAAGAACTCGTGCCCACCTATCTTCATGACTACGCGGATGTATTTGCCAAAGACGGATTAAACCAACTTCCCCCAGAAAGACCTGGAATAGACCATCGTATTGAAACGAAACCAGGTTTTCTCCCAAGAACGTCTAGAGTATACCCTTTATCCCCGAAAGAACGACTCGCCGTCAAAAAATTTATTGACGAAAACCTTGCTAAAGGATTTATCACGAAATCGAAATCCCCACAAGCAAGTGGATTCTTCTTTGTAGGAAAGAAGAGTGGAGAACTACGACCCTGTCAAGATTACCGACTTCTTAACGATCAAACAATAAAGAACTCC